AACGAGAAATAGAGACGCAGAGAAAACAGAGATTGTGAAATTCGCCGTAAACGTCGGCCGCTTGGAAAGTGGCTGGTATATAAACCCCCTCCATTCTCTCATTTTCCATGTCGGTCCGGAGCCAGTGGGTTATCAATTTCTGAACCCCTCCCATTGGCACCTATTTGACCGTTAAGTTTTGGATTTTTTTTCAAAAAATATAATCGGGAATCATCAAAAATATAATCGGGAAAAATCGAACTGAAACTACCTGAACTTCCTCAATTTCAGGGTTGGCTTTTGAAAGGATATTGGCCAGGTTCTGTGTAACTTTCCCATAACCGGATGTATAGCGGGTCGTATTCAGACCAACCTCAGATCAGAAGTTGCCAGAAAAACTCAAAATAAATAGTTTCAGTTCGATTCAGGTCATTCCCGAATTTTTTTTGAAAAAAAAAAAACAAACCTTAACGGTAAATTTGGTATCAATGGGAGGGCTTGAGATAACCCATTGACTCCGGACCGACATGGACAATGAGAGAATGGAGGGGATTTATATACCAGACACTTTCCAAGCGACCGATGTTTTGCGGCGAAATGAGAAGGAGCGACGCAGAGAAAACAGAAAAATTGTGAAATTCACAGTAAGCGTCGGCCGCTTGGAAAGTGGCTGGTATATAAACCCCCTTTGGTCGCCTTATTTCTGTCGGTCCGGAATCAATGGGTTACCTTCGCAACCACCCCATTGGTACTTAGTAAATCCAGGATAACAAAAATTCGAAAATTCAAAAATTTGGAAATCCGGGAACCAGAAAATCAAAAATCCTGAAATTTCAGGATTCTTGATTTCCAGGTTTCCGGAATTCCAGATTCTTGAATTTTAGAATTTCGAAAATAAATTTGGAATTTTTTGAAGTTATTTTTCACGTTAACACTTTTTCACGAATGTTTACCTAAATAGGCGTATTATGCGAGAGAAATTGCGAGACTTGCAAGACTCGCATAAAAAGTGCGAGTCTTGCACGTGAAATGAGAAATTGCGAGCATTTGCGAGAACGAGAAATTGCAAGGCGAGACAATGCGAGAATTTGCGAACGCAAGGCAAGACAAACATTTATGCAAGACAAGACAAGACCCGTCAAGACGAGACAAAAGCAAAGTCATGCAAGAAATTTCTCGCGAGACGACACTCTAGTACTTACTTGACCGTTGCTTTTTAGAATATTCGAAGCAAGGGAATGAAATGTCTGTGTGTCTGTATTGTCTAGTTAGTTCAGAAAATTCAAGTTTTCTTTGTTTTCAGATTTCTTTCCTTGATTTCTCAATCTCGACTCAACAGCTACAAAAATTAAAAAAGGCTTCAACTATCCGCATACTCAAAAGCTTCGAATTTCTTGTTTTCCAGGGACCACATTGTTGCAACGCCTAGTCATTTTGTCTGCACCTAAAGTATACAGAAAAACACAAAAATGATTACAAATGATTTCATATTGCAGTATACTGCTCATTATTCTAAAACCACAGTATACCGTGTCCCTTCAGATCCAACCGAAACAATGATGACTAATTCAAGTAAGTTCCTATATTGCACCATAAAAGATGATGATAATTGTCATATTGATGACAATTTGGAGCTCTTAGAAAATGGGCGGAGCTTAGGAATGGGTAGAGGTCCCTAGAAAGTACCCATTCATTATATCAGTATGCAATTCTCGATTGTTTACTTCCTTGTGTTTCTTATTCCATCTACTCAATCCACCGGATTTCTATCTCTCAAATTGACATCTGATCATGATTGTCTCGTTCATCTGGAGATTCAATCAATGGAATATTCTGAAACTGTACGTCTTTTAGCATATGAAACGAAATCATTGGAAATATTTACACCAGAAATCACCAATCAACTTTCTATTCATTTTCAAATTCTCCATCATTTCTCTGGAGTATCACTTTCCGATGTCTCTTCTCAGCTATTCAAATTGGATAACAATGGCATTTGGGAGCCACGTGTCATTGATTCGAATCAAGTGATTCTATCGATTCAATCCAATTTCCACTGTCAAAAAGGATTCTATGGACCAATTTGTGAACGTCGTTCGAGAAGCACTTCTACTATTAAAACAACGACTTCTATTCCAACTGCCACGTCATCACCATTTCATCTTCCAATCAGTGAGGTCCAAATTAATAAGTAAGTTTTCAATTTCTTCTTCTTTAATCCAAATCTATAATAAATATTTTTCAGCCTAATCATCTATGCAGTTCTATCATCAGTGGTCCTTCTTCTAATCATTGCCAACTGTTTCCTGTGTTTCTGTCGTCCTAAACCATCCAAATACATTGATTACACATTCCAAAACGTCTTCCCAATGGATGAATTCTTCCCAATGGAGAAAACCATCGGATCACCCGATACGGAATATTTTGACTCTTCCAGTAGATATTACTCAACAATCACTCTTCAATCAAGAGTCTAATCTTATATCTTTTTAATTTTTTTAAATAATAATTTCAAATGATTCCTAATAAATTATCATTACTAACTAGTCAATAAAGATGTAACCAATTTAAAAATGTATATTTTTGACAATCAGCTTCACAACTCAAACAAATCAGATTCTTTATTCCCAACCAAAAAAAATTTCAAGTCAAGTTAGTGCCAATGGGAGGGTTTTTCAATATAATAACCCATTGACTCCGTACCGATGGGGAATGAAAGAATCGAAGGGGTTTATATAGGAGACACTTTCGAAGCGACCGACATTTCATGACAAATTTCACAATTTGTTTGCCAAACGAAAGGAAAAGAGAAACCAGTTATGAAATATTTCAGCATTAAAAAATGTCGGCTGCATGGAGAGTGTTTAGTATATAAACACTCTGAAAAATGAGTTCTTTCGGTGTCCGGTCCGGCGTTGATGGGTTATCAATTTCTGAACCCCTCCCATTGGCACCCATTTGACCGTTGAGTTTTGTAATTTCTTTTTGGAAATAGTGAACAAAAATGAGTTTTTTTCATACATTTTCTGAAAAATCTGGAATTCCCTATCTGAACCGGATTGAAACTGCAAAAAATCCGTCTGAACGGACCTAAAATCATTCCGAAAGGAGTCAAAAATAGCTTCGATAAGATAAATAGGATAGCTTTAATTTTGATTCTACTTTTGCCGGGAAAAAGTTTTTTTCGAATATTCTTTGGAATTTCCAAAGCTTCAATTTCAATTTTCAGCTGTTTACAGTGTCTTTATTTATTTATCCAGATTTCCAAGTTTAAGCCAGTGAGTTACCGTTTCTCTGTCACCCTTTGGCACCAACTTAAATGACGATTGTTTTTCCTTTTTAGAAAAACTCAACTTTGAAAATATTTCTACGGATCGCGCTTTATCAATCTTGTCTACCGTCTCCCCGGTTGTATTTTTTGTCACGATTTCTGGATCTACCGTATCTCAGGTTGCATCCAAAACTGATGGGGTGATTTCCTCTTCAACGAACTCATTTTTCTGGGTGTTTATATACTAAACACTTTCCAGGCAACCGACATTTTACTGCTGAAATATTTCATAACTGGTTTCTCTGTGTCTCTCTTCCTCATTGCACACACATTGTGAAATATTTCAGCAGTAAAATGTCGGTCGCTTCGAAAGTGTCTCCTATATAAACCCCCTCAAGAAAACCGATTGGCACTAGCTTGACTTGAAATTTTTTTTGGTTGGGAATAAAGAATCTGATTTGTTTGAGTTGTGAAGCTGATTGTCAAAAATATACATTTTTAAATTGGTTACATCTTTATTGACTAGTTAGTAATGATAATTTATTAGGAATCATTTGAAATTATTATTTAAAAAAATTAAAAAGATATAAGATTAGACTCTTGATTGAAGAGTGATTGTTGAGTAATATCTACTGGAAGAGTCAAAATATTCCGTATCGGGTGATCCGATGGTTTTCTCCATTGGGAAGAATTCATCCATTGGGAAGACGTTTTGGAATGTGTAATCAATGTATTTGGATGGTTTAGGACGACAGAAACACAGGAAACAGTTGGCAATGATTAGAAGAAGGACCACTGATGATAGAACTGCATAGATGATTAGGCTGAAAAATATTTGTTATAGATTTGGATTAAAGAAGAAGAAATTGAAAACTTACTTATTAATTTGGACCTCACTGATTGGAAGATGAAATGGTGATGACGTGGCAGTTGGAATAGAAGTCGTTGTTTTAATAGTAGAAGTGCTTCTCGAACGACGTTCACAAATTGGTCCATAGAATCCTTTTTGACAGTGGAAATTGGATTGAATCGATAGAATCACTTGATCCGAATCAATGACACGTGGCTCCCAAATGCCATTGTTATCCAATTTGAATAGCTGAGAAGAGACATCGGAAAGTGATACTCCAGAGAAATGATGGAGAATTTGAAAATGAATAGAAAGTTGATTGGTGATTTCTGGTGTAAATATTTCCAATGATTTCGTTTCATATGCTAAAAGACGTACAGTTTCAGAATATTCCATTGATTGAATCTCCAGATGAACGAGACAATCATGATCAGATGTCAATTTGAGAGATAGAAATCCGGTGGATTGAGTAGATGGAATAAGAAACACAAGGAAGTAAACAATCGAGAATTGCATACTGATAATATGAATGGGTACTTTCTAGGGACCTCTTCTCTCCTTATATACCCATTTCTAAGCTCCGCCCACTTTCTAAGAGCTCCAAATTGTCATAACATGATAATTGTCATCTTTTTTATTGTCATTTGGAAAGTATACCCGAGTTAGTCATCATTTTTAGGTGGGATCTTAAGAGATACAGTATACTGGAATACTGTACACAAAGAGTAATATAAAATGTTTTATAATATTTTTGTAGTATTCTGTATACTGTAAGTAAAGAGAAAGTAACTAGGGGTACAGTAATACGGGTGCTGAAATACAAGAAATTCAAAGTTTTTGAGAATGCGGACAGTTGAAGCCCTTTTTTCACTTTTTAGCTCTTCAGCCGAGATTTAGAAATTTGGGAGAGATATCTGAAAAAAAGAAAACTGGAACTTTCTGAACTAACTAGGCAATACAGACACACACAAACAGAAATTTAATTCTCTTACTTCGAAAATCCAAAACCAACGGTCAAGTTAGCACCAGTGGGGGGGGGGGGGGGGGTTCCAGATAACCCACTGATTCCGGACCGACAGAAATAAGGCGACCAAAGGGGGTTTATATACCAGCCAGTTTCCAAGCGGCCGACGTTTACGGCGAATTTCCCAATATCTGCTTTCACTGCGTTTCTCTAGGGGGAGTCAGAGAAACGAGAGGCTGGGAAAATGAATATGTCGGTTGAAAAAAATATGTCGGTTGCTAGGGAAGCAGCTAGTATATAAGCACCCTCTGTTTCCCTATTCTACATCGGTCCGGAGCCAATGGGTTATCATTTCCCCTGTCCCCTTTTTAATTAGTACCAACTTGACTGATTGGTTTTTTAGTTTTCTTTTATGAAGCCCACAAAATTAATTTGAAATTGTTTTTTTCTGAAATTGGTTATTGATAGTTTCTCTTTTTCGCACCTTCTAATGGAAAAAATCGTCAATTTCTAATGGACAATTAAACTCAGAAAGACGGGAGATCTCTTGAAGTCTTGTCATCATACGAATTTCAGATTTATTCACCAAATCATAGATTTCAATAATGACACAAACGTATTGATAAAGGATAAAGACTGATAGAAGAGGAATAAAAAACAGGCTATTTAAAATTAAATAAGAAAATAAAAGGAAAGTTTGGTTAAAGATTTGTCGTCTTTATGATCGGAAGATTCTGATGACTTTCACGGGTTTGGAACGGCAAGTCGGGCAGCTTTTGACTTTTCGTCCACATTCGAAACAGATAACATGGCCACAAGGGACTGAAAAATATATTTGTATATTTCATCAGCCGTATTTAGTTAGCTCAAAAAATAAATAGCCGAATGATCTAAAGCTTTTCAATATTTAAAAAAACTTTAAAAATTCCACTCACCAACGGTTGCTTCTTTGCAATCATCCTTATTAAACTGCAAGAAACAAACTGGACACGACGACGGATTTCTTGTCTTCAGAAGGGCATCCTTCTGCTTCAAAAGCTCTTTCACATGAGCCAGTTCTTGTTCCAAGGCTTTGTTCTCGATTTTCAATTGATTTACAGTATGTCTCATGCGTGTTACTGGTGATTCCTCATCCTCTTGAATGCTTGACTCCATAGTTGGAAAGTCAACGTACCCATCTGTACTATTCGATCGCATACTGGGTGTCTCAATTGGTTCCAGATGCTCTTCAAATGGAGGCTCATTAATGTATGGCTCATGAGATTCATAATGAGCATCGGGCATCCGAAGATTTATAATTGATTGCAGAATTTGATCATGCCAAAACGGACCAGCTGTGTTCTGCATACCAGTACTGATCACATACATTTCAAGACATTGATTAGTACGTTGATGCGGATGCGCATAGAATTGGCATGTACACAACTGTATGCCGTATTGTTGAGGGTACATATTACTGAAAAATAAGCGTTAATTGCTGGATTGCGACTTCAAAAAAAATTGAACCTACTCCGAAAAAAATGAACTGCAAAGGTGACACTATTAGTTGCAAATGAATGGAATCAAGAGTATGAAATATAACTCTCTTCTTCTTTTTCAACGTTCTCTCATCTCATCATGACCTCCAGCATCCTCTAGTGTAAACTCCACTCTCTCATCTCACTCTGCTCTTTTATCCGTATGTTACACTTTTTCAGAATCCAAACAAATTGAATGAAAAAAGAGCAGAGTAGTTTGCTGGGTGATTGAACGCTTTGAACTTTTTGATGGATCCTGAGGATTTACAGAGGGTGGATAGAAGTTTATGCTCTTCTATTAGAGGTTTTGCAATAATTGTTTCTTAAATATTACTATCATTTTCATGCCAGGAGATTTACACGAATTTTTTCAAGCCAAAGCTGTCTTTCCTCGCTCACCCAAACCATCAACTTTGAGCACCATTATATTGATTCCTGTGAAATTCACAAAAAACTTGCCAACAGATAAAATATTGCTGATATTATGATAACTATTTTATCCGTTGACTATTTCTTGATATCTTTAACAAGAACCGAGAAAAAATGAAATCAAATTTTAAAGTTAGGAGCTCTTCTATTACAGGTTTTATGGTATTTGATCTTTTTGATTTTAGGAGCGAATCTCAAAACTTTTTACACCAATATGTTAAAAAATAAAAGTTTTTCAATTTTTCAATTTATTAAAATAAAAATTTCCAGAAAAAATTGATCAGACTAGAAATAACATACAGAAAAATATAAACATAAAACGAATAAAGCACCAAATTTGTGGGAGATTCCGAATAAGAAAAAAAAAGAAATGGGCAAGGCACGATGTGATGGTGAGGGAAAGAGAAACATGAAATTCAGAGAGACTATTGTTTCAGAAATGATAAGAAAAGAGGAGAAAAACACCCGCAGATGTGAACGAATAGGCTTTTGATTTGAAATTATTATGGGTATTACTGAGCAAACGCGCTCTTTCAAAAGTGTACGATAGAGCATAAATGGTCTAGAGCATTTGTCCGTGACGTCCTTGGCTGTATTGGTCTTGTGGAGCATAACGGGATTGAGTGTCGGCGTAGTGAGCAGCTGGTTGCTTTTCGGCACGGAGCTCGGCGTGTTCGGTTGGAGGACGGTTGCGTTTGAAGAAACCACACTGGAATAATGATTTGGTTTTTTAGATGAACTTTTGTAAATTAGTTTCAAATTGTTTTACTCGAGAAAACTTTTTCTAGAAAATCTATTTTGTTTCAAGTACCTTCCACGTTTCAGCTAGATTATCTCGACTCCTATGCGAGATATTAAAAGTATGTCAACTGATGAAACACTTCTGATATTATGATAAACATTTTATCAGTTGATAACTTGTTGATATTTTTCACAGGAATCGAGATAAATTGACTCAAAATTAAATATTACGGGTGCCCTTCTATTACAGGTTTATGGTATTATTCTCGACAGATAAAAGCCCTAAGATATTTGATTTTAAGTCCAAAAGTTTTTTACTTTTTCGAATTACCCCATATCATTAAAAAGACATTCTTGAAATTTTGCATATTTTTTTCCTTTTTTTTAAATTCTTCAGAATTATATTTCTGAAAATTTGAAATTTTTTGATATTTCAAAGTTTTTGAGTTGATACTTTTTTTCGGATTTTTCAGCTTTTTGAAAATTATCCAATGAAAACACTCACCCTCCAGAGCAACAAAATGAGCAGAATCAAAATGGCCAATCCAATAAGAATAGCCAAAAGATACAACCACCACGGAAGATCTCGTCCCTCTTCAGAAGCGATCGCATTCATATTCGTCGAAACCGCAGTGATCAGTGTTGGTTTATGTGGCCAATTGTACTTGGTAGATGTGACACGGGCCAGTGCAAGAGACGAGATGTCACCTCCTGGATTCCTCTCATCGACCAACGTATTCGTGTATAATCTAGAAAAGATCTCCACCAAAACGAACTCGTCTTCCTTCAAATCATAAATGTCACATTCGATATGAGTACATCTCAATCCATTACAATCAACTGATGCTCTGGATAGAGGTCCCTTATAATCAACAACACCTCCAGCTTCTTTGGAAAGCTTCACAGCTTCACGAAGATCTGAGAATCTGGCCTTATCGGATCTTGGCTCTCCACTTCTCGATCCCTCCTTCTTCTTCTTTTTTGGCACTGGAGCTCTCTTCACTCTCTTACTTCCAGCTCTATCAAAATCTTCATCATCATCTTCAAAATCGTCTCCATCGTATTCCTGGTCATCTGGAATGTATTCGTAGTCTCCCTTCTTCTTCTTATCCTCCACGTATTGCCAGTTTCCAGTATTCTGTCGGATCTTGTCCTCATCTCTTTCATAAACATGAACTGGTCCTTGATGGTGTTGGGTATGTTCTGTTCGCGTTTGATGATGAGTTTGAGATTGTGTCGTCGTTTCGTCTTCATAAGACTCGTCGTCTTCTTCTCTCGAGTACTCATTTGGAGTCTTTGCAACTGGTGGCTCAGTTGGAACGTGCTCATTGGTTATCTTTAATTTTCTATTTGATTAAAAAAAATCCAAAAAGACGACTCACCCTCAAATTCAGTGGATTCACATTCTGCAACTGCTTGACTCTACATCTTCCCTTATTCGGTGGATTCACAACTGGCTCCGTGATAATATAAAGAAGATGTCCTCCTTCTGTGGAGAACGATGGCCAGAAGATGTCCAAAGTGGCTGCGTCAATTTCAGATGGACCGCGGTTGGAGATTTGATAAAGATGAGAGACAACTGGACCGATTTCATTATCATCGAATACATCTGATCTCGTCTTGTTGGTCATTGAGAAATCGACTTGTTCTGGGTTGGAACGTCCATTCAAACTCAATTGATTCTTGAAATCAACTGGGATGGTGAAGGTGACCTTGTTATCAGCAATCGTATGAGCTTCTTCGTCGTTGCTAGAGTTGACATGAGCATTGATACTGATTGGAGCCAATGGTGGTTTATCAGATGACGCTGTCACTCGAACAACACTACTGACAACTTTGTTAGCCGGAAGAGGATTTCCTAGGTCACAAGCAAATGTCCATTTTCCATCGGAATCGGGCTCATCGGAAGTTGGGGAGCACGCTGGAGCGGATCCGTCCGCACCAACACTCTCGATTCCTCCGTATTCGAATCCTTGGGGAACGTCAAAGTACAATTTGGTTTCGTAGGAATCTTCTCCTCCGTTTTGGACAGTTACGTTGATTAGCATTGTGTTATCTTGAGTTCCGAGAAGGAACTTTTCGCGATCACTGAAATATTTTTAGGTTGTTCAAATTAAAAGATCAGGAAAGATTTTTTTTTCAACCATCCTACAGCTCACTTTGAGTTCAATTATCTCGGTATCTTCAGAAGATATCAAAAACTTGAGAACTGTTAAAATATTGCTGATGTCAAGATAAATAATTTATCAATTGCAAAATTTTTGATAAACCTCATAAGAACCAATATAATTTAGCTCAATGTCGACGGTTTGGTTGAGATTCAATTAGAGCAAATATGATACTTTGAGCTCAATTATCTTAATTTCTGTGCGATAAATCAAAAGTTTGTAAACTGATAAATTGTTTTTATTAGTTGATAAAGTTTTGATATCTTTCATAAGAACCGAGATAATTGGTCTCAAAAAGAGGAGACTTCAAAAAATGACTTACGCAACAGCTGTAACTTTAAGATCCGGAACGCAAAGATCATCTTTTCCACAGTTATTGGCAATGTTGATCTTGTTTTGGAAGGAAAGTGGAACAGTTGTATCGATTGCTGGCTCCAATTTATCTCCACGAAGTTTTCCGGATTTCGATTCCACGTAGGTGTAGTTGACGGACCAGTGAATTGGAGAAAGCTTGTCTCTGGAAAACAAAAGATTGTTGACGGAGCGAATATGCTGAGTAACTACGTAATTATGGAGACCCCTCACATTCAGAGAGACAATGTTTCAGTGGAAAGTGGGCGGAGCCTAAATTCGCGCATAGTTTTTTCGCACATTTAAATTTGGTCATGAGAAAAGCCGTGCAGTGAAACATTGTGCAGCTACGCCCACTTTTTAGGCTCCGCCCACTTTTCTTCTGTATTATTTTTCCTCGAAATTTATGGAGCTCCAATCATTCGTACATTGGTTCAATTCGAAAGGTTTGAAGAACTTTCCAGAAAAAGACTCACTTCATGGTGGACGAGGCAAAGAATCTATGTCTGAAGCACTTTTGTCTTCCTTTCTCCAAACGAACACGTTGTTCAATTGATGATGGATGGTCCCGGGTCTTGGATCCAGATGCTACTTTGATGCTACGGTCAGATTTCTGAAAATTCGTGTTTTAGCCAATTGAAGCTAACTTTCAACTTTGAGCTTATTCATCTCGGCTCTTTTCAAAGGTATGGTTGTCAATTAATAAATTGTTTATCATAATATCACAAACATTTTATCAGTTGACACATTTCTGATATCTTGTATAGAAATTGAGATAATTGAGCTCAAAGTACAAGGCCTTCCAATAGAGGGATTACAGTAACTTTCAACTTTGAGCCAATTTTTCTTGGTCCCTGTTGAAGATATCAAAAAGTAGTCAACTGATAATTTTTTTTAAAATGTCACAAACATTTTATCAGGCATATTTTCGATATCTTGCATGGGAATTGAGATAATTCAGCTCAAACTTGACTGTGTTTTACGGCAGTCAAAAAATAGAAAAACCCACCACATCCTTTTGCAAGAAGTAAGCTCTTGGTTCTGGCGAGTGATCATCCAAATTGAATCTCAAATCAAATTCCAAATCATTTGGAGTATCTCCTTTTCCTTCGTATTTGAAACATGTGTTAATATGCCTGCATGCTTGTTTTCCTAATTTTCCATCCACATCGCAATTCTTCTCTTCCACATTAATCAAAGCAGATTCTGGCTCAGTGGCTCCAGTTACAGTAACCACTGGTTTCGTAAGAAGAACTGCTGCATTTCCAGACTTCCATGCTCCAACTGCGATGTCTGGCATTCCATTCCCATCGACATCAACTCCTCCGGCAACTGCGAATCCAAATGCGCGGGCGGTTCCATGTCCGATTTGAGAGGCTTCGATCTTTTGGGTTGGCTTCTCACGAACACCATCTTTGGATCCATGGATCACATAGACAGCTCCTTGTTTGTTCTTTCCAGCGTAAGGAGCACCAACGATCACATCTAAAAACTTGATTTTCAGACTTTTCAAAATTTGATTTTCGTCAAAAGACTTTCCAAAACTTACCATTGTACCCATCCAAGTTCAAATCCCCAGCTGCTGCCAGCGAGTGTCCGAATCGTCCCCATTGATCGTCTCCAACAACAGCCAATTGTTTTCCAAAGACTCCTGGAGCAGTTTGAAGGAATACGATCACTTTTCCAACGTCGTATTGTGGTTTTCTTTCTTGGGTCTTTGCATCCTTCACACTACCGTAGTCAGTGTAGAATGGGCATCCCATGATGATATCGTCGCGGCTGGAAAGTTAAATTTGATATATCGTATTGTTTTTTGGATCCTAGTCCTCTGACAACCTACCCATCTTTATTAACATCAGCAACTGCCAATGCTCCACCACAGTATTGTCCATGCTGTGTCGACACCTCATCCGTCAAATTGATCATCATCTTCAGCTTGGATGTGTAAAGAACCAGCTTTCCATGAAGATCGTTTCCACGTGGAACACCAGCAACAATATCATCAATACCGTCTCCATCGAAATCTCCGGTCGCAGTTGCGTATCCCATCATGTCATGATCGTATTCCTTACTACCGTACTCGGTATTCGGGCGGTCAGTTTGATTTTTGGTATTTTGTGAGAAAATCGCTCCTTGCCAATACCAGACTCCTGGAGCTCCGAGGAACACACGATCTTGGTTTTTCTTTCCTGGAATGGCACCAGAGAATCCGCATTGACCGTATCCCAGACGATGGCGACCGTGGCGAGCGGCTGAAAAATATTCTATTGATTTTCAAAGGCAAAGAAAACTCTCACGTTCTTGTTTGCAGGACGAGAACTCTTCAGTCTTCTCAAATCCATTTTCAGCGTAGAAGCATGTTCCAACTGGCTCGATTACTTCGAATTTCGAGTAGAAGTATTTGTATTTTGGAGCACACATCTGAAAGAAATCAAATTTGATATTAAAAACTCTTGGTAATCAGACTCGCCAACAACTTATCATGCTTATCATTGGACTTAACAGTGGCTCCAAAAAATTGATAAGCCTTATCCTCGATAGGTACCAGATGGGATCCGTTCAACTTTTTCAAGTTCCCCTTCATCTTGTCCACGTGGACTTCACGACAAGTCGGTCGATTCACAGAACAGGCGTAGACGGCTCCAGGGCGACGGATTCCAGAGAGATTCGGGTTCGTTGTTTCGGCTTCTGGAGCACCGACGACAAGTCTAGAATTGTGAAGAATGGTTTAAAGATAAGAAATTTTGGGAACGGTAGCCTGAAAAAACTAACACTGGCATTCCTTTCTGCTCATTATAAAAGTCCAGCGAGTATCCGAAATAATTATTGGCCATATGATGAAGGACCACATTTTTTGTGTCGATGTTGAATGAAGTGACCGTTGAAATGAGAACAACGGCGGCCAGTAGGCATAAAAGCCGCGTCCGCCGTGGAAAACTACCCTCTCGCATCTACTGAAAATTATAGACATATTGAAAGATTTCAGATTTTTTACAAGTGGCAAGTTTTAAAGAAAAAAATGGATTGTAATGCTTAGAATTTTTCAAATCCTATCTAATCTAATAGAAGCCTACCATGTACGTGCTCTTTGAGCTCAATTATCCTGGTTCCTTTAAAAGATATCAAAGAATTTTAACTGATAAAATGTTTATCATAAAATCACCAATATTCTATCAGTTGACAAAATTTTGATATCTTTTACAAGAATCGAGATAATTGAGCTCAAAGCGCATGCATAGACTGAGCAAATACGCTGTTTTTGGTTAGACATGGTCAATTTTAAGTTTTTAAAAAGTATAATAAATTTTATTGGATCAAAAAAAAAATTTCGGATATACTAAACAAAAACAGAGCTTTATTTTTGTAATTGACAGCTTTTTTTTTAAATTCATCCAAATGCGATGAACAGCTTAAAACTGTCCCGACTCTGACTTCAGTGTTTGGTTGGTTTGAAGCGATTAGATGAATTTGTACAAAAATGAATTTGTACTTTTAATAGATGAATTTGTACGAAACAGTTGACAACTCCAGAATTGAAGCTCTATTTTTGTTGATGTTTACCTGAAAAGGTTCAATTAAAATGAAAAAAATTCTAATTCATGAAATTCGTGAATTGTTCCTCCATCAATGTCCATAGAGCCCAAAGTCCTATAGTTTCTAGAACTTGCTCCAAAAACCGGAAGCCAATGAAATATATAGACACGCGATTGCGAAACAACAAGAAAAAGGGTATCTATCTTCAGAATGTCTCCAAGACCAACACAAGAAAAAGAAGAAGAAGTCATTTATAATTGAGAAGGAACAGAGGGTCGGAAGACGGGGGAAAAGAGTATATTTGAGTCATGGATTACAACAATTTAACACTCAATTCGGACAAGAAGAAGAAGAGGAAGAAGTAGAAGAAGGAGGAGGAGAGCGAACGGAAATGGATCGAAAAGAGCCAAAAATTAGGAGAATGACCGGTGACACGTGGCATGTGGTCAGAAGACAAAGTGAGGGGAAAGAAGAAGGAGATTGATAGGGTGGGGGCGGAAAGAGCCATGAAAATTGAATTGAAGCAAAAAAGAGTGTGGAACGTTAGGGAGGAGAGATTTATGAAGAATTTCAAATTTAGAAAAAGGTACAAAAACATTTTGAACATCCATGACACTCATAAAAATCCTAAGTTGACATTTCAAACATTTTAAATGTCCCAAGAATTATCTAGCCGAAAATATGGCTCTCGAGTGGTCTAGAAACCATATTTTGGAATTTCCTAGGTCATCTGAAGCTTCTTACTACCGTGTTCTTGCTGAAAACATTTCAAAACTTAGAATGAAATCCCAAACTTTCAACTTTCGAGGTCATGAAAATTCCACCACATTCCCATGAATTTCAAAAACGATTCTCAACTGAATGACTCGAAAACTATGAAACGCGTTTCGGACCACATAGTTCTTCCGGATAGTTATCATCAAACATCTGCCTTATGGATGAATGAGAGAGTGTGTGAGCAAGAGAGACGCAGACAAAAAGAAAGAGAGTATGAATCAAGAATGAGTTCGGTTGGGTTGTGAAATGAAGATGGGAATGCCCTTTTTGGATGTGAGGGGAGGGCAATGAAAATGTTCGAAAACTAATTGTCACCCCCCCCCCCCCAGTCAAAAAGATATGGTTGACTGAGTGAGTCTGTATAACACAAAAAGGTCATGTTTTGAAAAGAATCGGGTAGAAAAGAGAACATAGGGAAGGACAGAAAGTGATAAATTGAGAGGTTAGGGGGGATGAGTTAATTGAGTGGTTAGAATAAAACGAGGAAATTCTGCTATTGAATTTAAAAGTTTGCTAGTTTTTTAAATAACAAAAAAGTGTGGCTTAAAAAACTGTAACATTTTTGTTTTATTTTTAGAAACATAGCACAGAAACTATGTTTTGAGAAACGGAAGAAAAAATTTGATAGAATGGAAAAAAAGAGAAAGAGTTTGTAAAAACATAGACTTCGATTTTTACAGTATCCCTGTCAAATAGTAAAAAATGGCCCAGAGCCATCGAAATTGAAGAATTTCAAAAAATTAAAAATTTTCATTCTGAAAAATGAATTTCAAAGTGGTTCTGGTTGAATCTTTAAAATAATAAAACTCAGTGTTCCAGAAATGTTGTTCCTGTTCTACAGAATGTCCATCTTACCGTCAACTTTGAGGCAAGTTATCTCGTTTCCTGTTAAAGATATTAAAAAGTGGTTAACTGATAAACTATTGGTGATATTATGATAAACATTTCATAAATGGACCACATTTTGATATTTTTCAAAAGAACCTAGATTAATTGGCTCAAAATTACCCAGCTAATAGAATGAAAAAAAATACCGAGTGAAAAGTCAAATAATCTGAAACTAAGAAAACTTGAATTCTTAGTATCCAGGTTACTGATTCAAAAACTAAATTCTGTAAACTTTTATTATCTTTCTCCTCTTGTCATTATTACCCTAATTAGTATTCCTAGGTGTTTAACACCCAACAACCACCCATTCCCGAAACCCCTCCCCCATATAAACCGAACACTAAAATGCAATGAATCAGAAAATGAAATATGGGGGGACCCCTTATTCTTCTCAATAGCAGGTGGTGCAGGTGCTCTTGGAGGGGCTCAATTTTTGTGGAAGAAGAATGGAGAAAAGGGTTTGAATTCTCGATGATGCATTCGAGCGAAGAAAGCTGGGAGGAACAAAAAATGTGGGAAGAAGCAGAAAAAGAAGAAATATGTGAAGAAGAAAAAACAAAAGAGAATAAACACATTTTTGTTCAGGTATAGATTGGAATTTGTAAATTTGCAAGGCAGCTAACCTTGACTGCGTCAAAATTACCGCGAAACCTCGAAGATAAGCTTCCTCAACTTTAATCCAATTTATCTCGATTCCTATAAAAGATATCAAAAAGTTGTCAACTGATAACATGTTTATCAAAACATCAACAATGCTATATCAATTGACAACTTTCGAATATCTTATACTTGAATCAAGAAAAATTGGCTTAAAGTTAGGGTGTTTTCTGCAAGGTGGCGCACAATTACCCGAACTGATAAAAACATCATTAGAAATGAATATCTTGGAAGCACGAAAATTGGTGGAAATATAGTTTTACTTCTGATTCAAAGCTACGGAAATTTTCAAAGCTATTCCTCATGTCTAGGTATTGTTATCATTGCCCAAAGATGAACGGCGTAAAGTTTCTTGTGATTTTCATGAGATGAAGCAACTTTGACAAGCGATAATTCAACTCAAAGCTGATCAAATAGCTTGAAACTCGGCAAGTTTACTAATGAAATATTTCAATTTTTGCGACCAAAATTTCAGACCAGTACAACGCTTTACTCAAATTTTACGGTGGTACAAACTTTTGTGCTACACTTCATTAGAGTAGATGGTATTTTGAGAAAATGTCGTTTTGGAGTTCTTTCTAATTATCAAAAGATTTTCGATGTTCATTTTATTTTCAGATATAAGAAGGAGACGGTTTAAAGAGCCATTCTATTATAGTGTTCACGGGAAGCCTGGAGTTTTGCGAGTTAGAAAGTATTTAACTTTGAAAAATCTAAACGGAACGATTTCTGGAATTTTCGAAAATTCTTTTTTTGAAATTGGTAACCCTTGGAAAACGAAAAATCTCATGATTCGATATTCCTTAAAACCATTTTCTTGAAGGTTCATGTAAAATTAGGCCAAAACTTGAAAGTATTTTCAAACTGGCAATTTTTTTTATATTTCCAAAAATCTAATTCAAGTAAACGGGTTTTTTCAAGACGACATTTTTTCCAAAATACCGTAAAACCTGTAAAAGAAGGGCACCCCTTACTTTTCACTTGGAGATGGTATTTGTCCACGATCGATCCTTCCCTTCTTAAAATTCTGTTTCTAACAAAAAAGTGATATTCCCAACCTATTTCGAAATCTCCTCTTGATCCCCATCACAACTAATCCCACCTCAGCCCTATCTCTTTTTCTTCAACTGATCGTGTAGAGAGGGTATGGAACGTAGGCGTCTGGCAGTTTGAAGAAGAGAGACGCGGTCATCGAAATGATCTGAGAGCAGGAAAGAAGAGAGAGAATAAACACAGTGTGTAGCAATGCAGAGAGAAGGGATCCTGCCATCCGATGTAAACCAGAAGAAGTAGAAGACAGCTGCTGCTTCTTCTGCTCCCGCGGGTTGCCTTCTTCCTGCCAAACTCCCCCGTAGAGCACTTTATCCCTTTTCCTCTTCTATACACTACTTTTTGCTGTTGCTATGATTTTTGATATTGATCCTTCTAAAATCTAGGATTCTATTTGTTTTGGTTTAGAGATTGGGGTAATTTTCAGAAGAGTTGGAAATTTGATTGGACTGTTTGATTTGTATTTTTCTTCAGACCCAAATCGTTTTCCTTCCTTTTTTATGAGATGTTCTGAAACTTTTCTTTCTCAATACCATGGCAGACCTGGAAAAATTGTCCCCTGCTAATGGAACTTGTTCATAACCATTCTAAAAATTGAGTCTTGAATACATTCTCTGTAGATGAGATCCATCTTTCTAAACTTTCTGAGCTGAGTGGTATTCGGAATTATAAGTTGACCTCGGAAAGTTTCCCGAATTTTCTCTTCGATTTTTATAAATTTTTTTCTATGTTCCCATGAAAATTCTTCGGATCCTACATACGAGGTGTAAAAATGAGAGAAGACCCCCAATTCAAAAAGAAAGATACGGATATTGCGGTGTTTGATGTTTTCCGACCTAGGGAATCTTTTGGCGGTTTTTAAGCCACGTGGGTTTGTAAAAATGTCTATCTAGGCACACTAAAAATTTGGAGATCCTGAAATATTTGCGAAATATTTAACACGGGATTTTGGTTAGACATGGTCAATTTTAAGTTTTTAAAAAGCATAATAAATTTTATTGGATCAAAAAAAAAATTTCGGATATACTAAACAAAAACAGAGCTT